CGATGAGATAAACAAGGGTGGTTATAAAAATATGAGGGACTGTCCGATAGCGAGGTTCCATTCTACGCAATACACCTGTAATTCGTCTCAACCGGTTTATAGAATTTTTACCTTATTAATTCCTTAAATCTAGCTGTCGTCTGCAGAATAAGATATCGATTAGCCTAATAAGATTTATTCCAGTTTCCTAGGCATGAAGTTTGAAACCTCTCGAGGAGGTCCCCTTCGATAGTTGCTGTAAACTCTTTAATAGCTTATACGCCAGATTTTACCTTTTAGTAGGCAAAATCGTTCTGCTCGGAAATATTAACTATAGTGTTTAGCTGAAAGAGCAGATTATCGGCTTTGTTCCGCTCGATGCCTATAATGTTACTACCTATTGCCACAGAGAGTTGGACAAAATTTATAGGCAGAGGCTGGAACAGGCATTATATCAGGCGTCTGATATGAAAGCCTTTAGGTCGTTGACGAGTTCTTCGAAAGAACTTTTTATAAGTCATATCCTTAGAAATCATCAATCGACATAATTAGCAGCTTCTCGACGATTTTGCGATTGTTTTTGTTACTATATAATTACTTCGATCCTTGGACCCTCCTTTGCAAAGATATGAAAAATAAAAGATAAGTCTAGTAGTATCCGAAACCGCGGTTAGACAAACTAAGTCTAAATCCTATTGCCGGTACTTATAACAGCATTAAAGCACCCGCCTTTTCCAGCCTCTTTACGATCTCCTGGTGTCCTTCGTATAAAGCAGCATAAAGAGCGTTACCGTAATCTCCGCCTTGGGCATTAACGTCGGCTTTGTTATCGATTAGAATTTGCACGATCTCCTGGTGTCCTTCGGCTGAAGCAGCCTGCAAAGCGTTGCCGTATGTTCCGCCCTGGGCATTAACGTCGGCGCCGTTGTTAATTAGCAGCTGCACGGTCTCCTGGTGTCCTCCCTCTGAAGCAGCCTGCAGAGCGTTGCCGTAACTTCCGCCCTGGGCATTAATATCTACTTCCTTCGTCTTGAGAAGCAGTTGGACCACTTCAGTATGTCCATTCTCGGCTGCCCGCAATAGCGGTGTCCCACCTGTACTATCTTTTGCATTTTGGTTCCTTTTATTCCATACTGCAGGTAAAACTTTTGCAAGCCCAAAAATGGCTGCAAGGTGTGTTGCTACCATTCTGCTAGGTGCCCTTTGACTGTATCCCGGATAGTGCCAGAGCCTACCAGTAAAATATGCTTGGACTGATGCATCGATCTGCGCAGGTTTCCTAAGAAATCCAAGCACTTCCTCACATCCAGGGGTTGCTCGTGCGTGGTGACCCCAATGAGAAGCCGCATATTCAAAGAATGGATGTCCCTTGAGACGGTCCTCATACTCCTGATCGCTCTGGCAGCGCCCGTTTGCAAAAGCGTCGAATGAAAGATATGTAGTGCAAGTCGCTGCTAATGCCGAATGCGCTGTAGGAAACCATGTGTCTCGCGTGCTTTCGAAGTAATGTTGTGTCGTGTAATGCACCAATCGGACAATGCTGCTCGCTTCATCGATTGTTACTAATCCTGCACAGACGGAAACCACGTCACGGATTTCTGTAATGTTATCATTATCGAGCTTTGTTTCACCGATTTCAACGGCAAGAGCATGCTGCAATTCTGTCTTGGTGAGTGGCCGTTGTGCGCATGTGATCCATGCTAGCACTTGCTTCGCACGCTTGGCTTGCCCTTCGAGCTGGCCTTCGATTCGTTTCATCGCACCATAATACGCTGCCTCATAACTTTTCGAGCCGTTTACCAAATCCTGCAATGCGTTCCGCAAGACCTTAGGATTATCTTTGTCCATGAGAGTATCGCAATAGAGCTGAGCAAGCAGAAACCTGGTCAATTAGCATAGCTCGGTTGGACGTGTTTACAACAGACCTACATTCCGTCCACTGTCCGACTAATGGTCTGCGTGATCTCGTCTTGCAAGTCGCTTCTCTCGGCAACAAACTTGGGAAGGCGTGATACGGCGCCTTTCAGATATCTTTCGATATCTTCTTCACTAGCTCGTATCTCAATTGTCAAGCCATTCGAGAATTCCTTCTCAATGTCAGGCATATGCCGAGACGTCGCGAAGACGCTAATGCTTTGATGAGTCTGGAGGCTGAAGAGTTGGTGGAGGAATCGTGCTCTGCAATTGTCTGCCACCTGGCATTCGTCTAGTGCATCAACGACGATGAATATCCTGGCAAAAGTTGCAGCCACAGCCTGAAGTGCCGTTGCGATCTCTTCCAAAGTCGGTCTGGTTTGTTTCCTCGCATGTTCCCCGTGGAGCTTATATAGAACAGGCGGTAAGAAGGGACCGTTGCAGGCCAGTTGTTTCAGCAGGCTAGACATGAGATGCTCAAGTTTCTGCTCCACTTGGCGGTTGAAATTGCAGTAGACGTAGACCACCGCAGTGGTGAGACCGGCAGAAAAACGAGTTTCGAGGTTGTCGATGACGATGGATGAGAGAATTGTCTTGCCAGCTCCAGGTATGCCAGGACAAAATAGTCTTTGTCCAGGCTCTTCTACCCACCTTTGGTATGTTTCGCAATCAAGAAGCCACTGTCCTGTGCCAGGCTGTCGTCTTCGCAAATAGTCGGAATGCTGCGGGCCGAAATCGACAGGAGTGAGCCAATTCAGCACTTTGAGATCCTCTTCTCTTTCAAGGATGAGTCTAGTCTGCGCAACTTGAGATTTCGTTTCAGACAGCTCACTGGACACTATTTTTCAACGTTAAAACCTTTGCTGCAGCACACAGAAATTGCTTGGAATTACTCACCTCTAGCTAATACATCCTTTACCGTTTCCTCTTGATCGACATCCTGTGGCTGGATATATCCCAGAAGCTCTTTCGCAAATGCTGCTGCAACGGCAGCAGCATGTTCCTGCCACGCTTTGTTTTTGTGCGAGTCGGCGTAGTCACAGATGCCTCGAATCACAATGCACGGGAAGTTGTCCATCAGTCCCGCAGCCTCCATTTCGACACAAAGGGCGTGCTTATCCATGTGTTTCGACAACTGATCCCTAACGCTGGCATCCTTGACCACCTGGTTACCCGATGCGATCAGCCCATAGTGCACGCGCATGTCTCTCGGTTTCCTTTTTACTATCTGGGCCTTGTCGCAGTGCTGGCAGTCATCTTGAACGTCATCCTCTGATTCATCCTCCCCATCCCCTGAGGAATCTTGATGCTGCTTCTCCACATGACAATAGCTTGCTTTAAAGAGGACATCTCGTAGAGAATCAGATCGCAGGTATTTCGGTACTAATAGTGGCCAGTCTTGCCGAATCTGATCCAGGTATTCTGGAATCCTTGTGCCCTTCATAGCAATATCCGACTCCAGCGTCGTCAAGGCAGATAGAAGCAGATTTGGTGGATTGTTCAGCGCACCCGTTCGTCGGAATGTCCCGCCTTGCTCGGCCTTGCCCATGTCCCACTGCACGACGCCAGGAAACTGATCAACAGGTACGCTGACAACGACGTCTCCAAGCCGTACTTTAGGCGGGATGCCGCCACCAATACCGACCATCAGCCCGAATCGGACGGCTGGAAAGGCGCGAATCAAGTGGGTGGCAACAGTCGCAGCTGAACTGGTGCCGATCTTGCCCTTTGGCAAACAGGCAATCACGACATTATGGCCACAGATTGAGCCGAGCGTGTAGGAGTTGGGGTCGTTGGGAGATTTTGAGAGGCTCGGGTGTCGCTCCTCGAGCATAGCGAATGCGGCCGTCTGCTCCTTAGGCAGGGCGCAGACCCAGCCGACTGTGTAGGCATCGTGCGTGCGCGGGCGCGTTGCCATCGCGAGTCCCTCGGTGAGAGTGCTCTCGGCAGTTGTTGATGGATACGCAATGACTCAGTTAAGAGTTCGGTGCCATGACCAGGCGGGCAGGCAGGTGAGGAGTTGAGGAAAGTCCTACGCAGCCTCGCGGGCTGACTCGACAGCGCTTAATGCATGTCGCATTGCTGCGACTATGGCGGTGATTGGCCAGCAGTGTGCATGATCATTATGTGCGGGGTCGCATAGCCGCGACGATTTCTATCCTGTTCTATGCGATAGTAACAATTGAAACAAAGTCCTAATCAACATGCATGACTGCGCAATTATAAGTATTTTGTGTTTTCAAAGGCATGTTCTAGGATGCACATTAGCGTTGACCTACAGTGGGCGACTGATCATGAGTTAGTACCTGGTAATTTAGGGTGTACGCACTGAGCGGCTAGCAGGGTGTAGCGCTACTTAGGGCAGAGCGGATGGGAAGCTGGGTTTTCTAAGAGCTATGATCGTATTTGATAAACATGATGGAGAAATACATACACACTGGCTAAGACTACAATCTCAGACTTCCAGCATTGGGTAGTTTGTACGCTCTAATGCTCCGACCGTCCTTTTTTTCAAACTTACAAAAGTCTCGTCTATACACTGGCCCGACACAGCATGGAAAACTGTACAAGTTACGTTTCAACACAAAACAAAGGGCAGAAATAGTTTGATCGCTTATATAAAGTGTATCAGACGATATACACGGGGATGCGACTGCCGTACACATCGCTCTTGCTGACCTGAATATCCATCTTATGGAAAGTGTGCAGCTGTAACCAGCATAGCATGCGGAATACGAGGGTGCACCACACCTCATCGACGTCTTCCGCACCGCTATTGCTTGGCTCGAGACTCGGATCTGTAGTTTCGCCCGAGACGTTGATTGACCCAGAATTGTCCTGGCTAGCTCCATTTTGGCTGCTTGCAGGAGCTTGCTCGCGCACGATTCGGACAACCTCTGGCCGTATACGATCGAAATACATGTCAATCAATAGAGACTCCTTCTCCGCGGATGCGGAATCAATGTCATGGATCGTAATAGCGTTACTATTCGAACCTTGGTCGGTTTCTTTCTTTTCCTCGTGAAGGATACGCATGATCTCTTGGATATGCACACGAACAATCTGCTTCACCATGGACGGGCTGCGTGCTTCGATCTTTCCAAGGTAATCATCGCACAGCTCGACTCCATCGCGTAGGTGGCTGAGATTGTCGATGAGAGAGGCACCAGGTGGATCCTCGCGAAAGAAGTCTGGCGTGCTTTCCTGAGCCCGAAGTAGCGAGAACTCTGGGACGTTTTCCGCCCAATTGATAATGTTGTTCAAATGCTCGCTCTCTTCCGAGGATCGGCCGTGAAGCAGCTTTAACGAGATGATGTATTTGTTTAGAAGTCTCGGTAGAGAAAAGGTGCTAGGATCCCAATGAAAGCCTGTGGGGTTTGGAAGTACCCGGAACACGGTGTCTTTTACGTGTAGCATCTCGCCTACCATGCCGAGGAGTTCGAATGCAACTATGCAGAATTAGATGAGCCGCCTTTCTTGATTCATTTAGGGGTCGTCTTACCAGCAAATAAATGACTGTGACGAGACTGGTCGAGGTTCTTCCGGAAATAATTGACAGTCCTGTTATTGCAGCCAAACACCACAAGGGTATTGGCAATCGCCGCGGGATCCTCCAGCTGGAGACTTTCGACCCCTTTGGCCTCATCGGCGTAAACCACTCGGTCTTGTTTGAAGATGGTAGGGACGATGCCAAAGCATAGCTTCTTGATATTATAGTTGGGAACTACGCGGTTCTTTTGAAACCACGTTGGTCCTTGTTTCTGGAAATTGAACGTAATACCCAGGCTCTGTATGGACGAGCCGTCAATGACAAAGCCGTTGCCCTGGGCACGATATCGGTGATTGTTTACATCAAAGATCCTCCAGTGGATACCTAGGATGGCAGCAATCTCAATTATGTGAGATATAGTAGTAGTAGCATAGGGCTTTGCAAAGTCCTTGGGCATGCTGTCCCAAGTTCGCCGCTTTCTTTGCATGCACACTACCAGGGAGTGGTGGTGGTGAGGCGCGTCGGGAGGCGTCGGATTCATAGGAGGGGGGCGAGGACCGATGGTGCTGCGCCGCTCCGCTGACTTCTTCGCTTGCCACTCTCGAGATTCCGTCTCCATTCGACAAACGGCCATAAGGAGACCATACCAGGTGGCCTTTTCGTTGTCGGCTGTATGAATGGCCTGGCGCGTGCTTTTCTTGGATTTCTTGATGTCAAACTCCTCGACGCTGTCAGTATATTCAAAATTGTCGGGGCTCCCGTCCATCCGAACGATGCGCGCGTCAATTGGGGCGAAGGCCTCGTCTCCTAGAGGACCCTTGGTGTTTTTCGGCCTAGCGACGAAAATGACTGGGACCTCGAATTGGACCTCGAAACGGAACTCGGTCCAAATCATGTGGCGCCTGGCAAACTTGGCCCATTTCCCTATAACAGCCTCACTGCAGGAAGAGAAGCCGGTGGCGGTAGCCAGGTACTGCTGGAGGGCCTGGAGGATGGCGATTGCAAAGGCTAATACAGAGATGACCAAAGCGACGACAGCAACAATGAGCTCGACGTAGTCGTCCCCCCCTTCGCTGCTCGAGGAGCTCTGGTCATTTGAAGACATGGCTATTGAAACGCGATTTAGTATTCATCCCGTCATGAGGTGAAGAGTCACGGCCAACCTTGGTAGTTTCAACGTGATAAAATTCGACATACGGATTTTGTTGTCTTGGTAGAGATGTTGTCAGCTAAGATTTGTTGTCATTATTTTTTTCACCGTGGGAATTGATCCTACAGGATCGACCAAAATTCAGCTCTTATACAGGGTCCAGGACCACATGTGCTTATGGGGCCGCCACGTAAACCTTGAACTCACAGCTGACAGTAGCCTAAAAGCGGGTGAGCAACTGGGTTACTCCACTAACTAGGCGGATTGAGGGGGTTCGGATCATACCTAGGGCACAAAATTGGCTTGGCTGCAACGGGCTCTGCCCCTACTAGCGCGGACGTTGCCCTATCAGACAGTATACCTAGTAGTAGCCAGAACAGCCCGTCCACTTTCGCTAGGTGGATATATCCTTTGAACGGTCAAGCCGGCAAAGCATAATGTTTCGCCATGTTCTTCGGTGAACTGCGCAAGGCTTGCGCCTTCAGCCTCCTTGATAATCACTATTTCTGGCATGCCAATGTCTCGGCGATACAGTTTATCCGCCTTGTGAATGAAACGAGCCTTTCGGTAGGGTTCATTCCCGAATAGAAGCAATCTTTAATTAATGACTGGGAAAGATCTGGTGCTGGCAACCAAAGCACGAGAAACCAAGTTGGCCTGGCGAACAGAACAAGAAGAAGTTCAAAGCACTCTTTATCCTTTAATAGCCATGAAGGTCACATGAAAATTCATCTAATCACATGTAGCCGTGGCCAAATACTCATCTATGTGATTCAATCTCATTCCCTGCATAATATCACCTCAGCACTCTGCGTGGACATGATTCTCGCAAAACTGCATCGCACGTAGCAAATTCATGCGGTGAAATATATTTGCAAACGTTCTGTGGCTTGCACTTTTGGAAAGGCTTATTGCTGAAGAGAATCGATTGACTCAGCCACGTGCCAATAGCTGTTGGTGAAGGTACCGGGGGCGCAGGCGCTAGTATCCGCCCAGTTAAATCTTAAAATAAAATTAAGCTCCGAAAGCCTCGAGTCAAACGACACTGAAAGTACATATGTATATGATTTATGATATAAGTCAGGTCAGTGCTGAAAAGTAGTTGCATAGTATCGTAAAAATAGCAGAATGAGTGCTTGGCAGTCAGAATTTCAGCTCGAAGTAATTCGGATAGCAAGCCATAGATCGGTGCGTGACTTTGATTCGTACATTTTGTGCGTTCACAAGTTGCTCGATAGCGTGCATACTCACAACTGTTTCCTTGGTTACCTCACGTTGTGCTGCGCCTCTAGAATACTTTGAGTGTCGGAGAATCTCCTTCCGGCCAATAGGTCGGATTAGCTGCCGTCCCAAGTGCACTGAGTGTAGCCGGCCCCGTGATCTCAGCCTTGTCTACCAGATGCCACACGTGGGATTCCTCCCCAAGATGCCCGTTATAGAATTATCTTGATGGAGGCTTGGATTGGTGTGGTTCGCGTTATATTAGCTCTCAGCAACAATGCAAAAATGATGTTTTGAAGCTTATAGAAAGTATATAAGCGTTTGCCATCTTGTGCTTGAACGATTTTCTTTTTTACCACTCATCATTGCAATTATTGAATTGTAACCAGCAGAAAGAATATTGTTACTCTCCACAGTGTTTTTTTTTTTCACCCCTCTTCTTCTTTTATATTCTCTTGCGTCTCCTGAATCCATCGGGTATTCTCTGTTCATTCCATACATGTAGCCATGTTACTCCTCGGCCATGCCAACGTCGCATCGTTGTTGCTCCTTTCTGCAACAACGAGTTCAGTCCTCGGTGCCCCTGTCAACGAGGTCGACTTGGCTCATTCATCTCTTGTTCCTCGTCGAACTCGCGATGTTGACGACCTCTCCAAACTGGACGAGATCTGCGGCCATGACATCAACAAAGAAAGTTTGAAGGATATATGGGAAATGACGCGCGTGGGAGGCTTCCTCGACATCATTGTGAACGGCACCTCTATAGGGGCGTACCCCAACTGGGTTCAGAACCTCGACAAGGCCACCTGGGATAAGCAGCAGTCCGACGCGTGGGACTGCACCAGCTTCCCTGGGAAATGTGGCCCCGCGGCTGACTGCAAAGAGTTCTTCCTCATCAGAGATCGGCCCCAGGAATACTGGATCTTCAAATCCATAGACGGTGCGCACAAGGTCATGAACAGGCTGCACGAGGAGCTCCAGAACGACGCCAACGTGGTCCAATTTGACTTGGACGGCATCATCTCCGACTTTCAAGGCGGGATCAAGGACCTCACCGACATCTACGGGAAAATGGCTGCGGCTTTCACCATTGGGGCTGGGGCCGTGAGCGTGGTGCCTGGCCCAGGAAAGCTCGCCAGCGCCGCGTTCAATGTCGTGGCCGGTGTCTTTAGCTTGGCCGCTCTGGACAAGCCTCCCGACTCGAAGCCGACTGCGCAGGAGTATCTCAAGAACTATTTCGAACAGTCCCAGAATGCTCTCAAAGACACGGCCCGCAATCTGTTCGGTACTGGTGATCAGAAGAAGCTTCCCAACCTTTCGAATCCTCACCACTGGCTAACGGAAGTGGCTCAATTTTTCGATGATGGCAAGTTCTTGATTGAGAATGTCGATGAAGCCACAGATACCACAGTCAAGACGGCCAGGATACATCTGGTATGTGTGCACTTATAGCTGCCCTTTTTTCTCGCTCTTTGTTGCTAAACGTGACCTAGCGACAAGCCATTGGTATGTCCGTTCTCGACTCACAGGGGTGGAAACTCTTCATCGATCCAGGTATCAAGGATGAGGCACGGTGCAAGAAGGATGGGAGCTCCCACATCTGGAGGAGCGAAAGCAACGAGTGCTGGGGCCTTCTCAAGTGGGAAAAGATCCCTTCTGGCGACCCCTTCTCCAAGGACAGGATCAAGGTCACCCAGTTGCCCGAGAAAACTGTCCAGAAGATGACAAAAGACTACGAGATGGATTTGAAAACAGTCTACGATAACGCCGTCGCTTGCAAGCTAGCGCATCCGGATGGCAGTGCTCGCGCCATCAAAGTCCAGGAATTGAGCCCAGATGGCAGCAACCTTCCGCAGTGCTTCTTCAGCATAGACGTTGCCAAGGGTACATTTACCGCCAATGAATACAAACCGCAGGATCTTTGGGGCAAATGGTAGAGACCATAGGTAATTAGATCATGTGCGGGTTAATATGCTGTTGGCTATATCTCCTTTAAGGGTCTGGGCTGCGCTATTCCAATCTACTTTTGCTTTTACGAGCGCAGGGGCAAATCCAAGCTCGGCTGATTCTGAAATCTATTTTGAAAAAAGAAAAAAATAGTCATTTAGCATTTAATGAAATCATTATCTGTGGGACATCGGTGTTGGATGGTAAAGAACATACCATTTTGCATAATCCTCCAAGACTTGATGGGTAAGATTCCGCCATCCGCATAGATAATCGAATGGCCGTCTCCGAAGCCCATGGGCCCAAGCTCGGCAATGTGGTCCTGGTCTTGGGCGGTGCAATCAGTCGTCGCATAGCCACACAACCAAGAGTCCCCGTTCGATTGGCCAGTGGGCTTATGATCAGTGGCTTAACCTGTTCGCGGCATGGGCGAATGAGCCCAATCTCTAGATTTCACCACTGGCCCTCGAGCTCGCGGACACTGTCGTCGTGCTTGCGCTTGACCTCCGCGAGCTCCGGTTTTCCGGCACCCGTCTCGGACCGGAGCTTTTACGCGCTGCTCTGTCCCTCCTCCTCCTCCTCTCTGCACCAAGGTCTCCAATTCGGTAACGTTGCGCGCACGTCATTGGCTTACAAAAGGAAGGCCTGGCTTGCTGTCCTTCGTCTCGAGAAATCCCGCTAAATAACTTAGAACTTTTTTTATAACTATTATATACCTGTAATTATATCCATTCCGTGTAAAATGATATATCCGGCGACAATCAGGTTCAGATATATTCAACGTGGTTGTACCTGCATGGTTAGGGGGCGTCGCGCCCTCCGCTAGGCGCTAGCAGGACAGGACAGCACTCTGTATGTAGGTTTATCCAGGTAGGTACCCGCTGGAGATTTCGGTCGCACTTTTAACATCATCCCCCCCAAGCTTAAGGACAGCGACCGAAAGCAGTACCCCGCTTTGTGCTGACCTTCTATAACCCCGGACTTGTCTACCTCCCTTGGTACCTAGTTACCCATCCTTCCGAAGTGAGGTTCAGGACATGTCTCATGTTTGTTATAAGTTGAATTTGCTGCACTGCTTCGATATTCAATATGCGTTTTTGATCCATCTGCCCATCTTGACATTGATAACCCAAAGCCGGTTCATCGAGAAAATGGCCAGCGACTGTACGACAGAATACACTCTCTACTCTTCCCCTTTCTCCCTCTATTCCATGATGGCCCGTCACACAATCCAGCTTGGTCCCACAACGCAGGACGCAAAAAGTCCCCCCAAGATTGACCTCGTGTTCATCAACCATCGGAAAAATGAGGCTTTGAAACAGGATTATCTTCTCAAGGTGAATCCCAAAGGACAGGTCCCCTCAATGACTGGAGCAAGCCTCAAGAAGTCACTGAATGACAGCCGCTCCATCTCCCTTTTCCTTGCTGAAAACCACTATCCTGCGATGCTACCGCCGCAACACGGTGCAATCATTCGGGGCCTTCTCGAGAGACTCCACGCCGTTCCTGGTCCCTCGTTCTCCAACAAGAACCCGACGGTCGAAATGAAGCAGCATAACCCTTCACCCGCGGAAGAGATTCTCAAGAGGGACGGCGCTAGAGGCCAAAGTTCAATTGTACGTCCATGCTACGCCCTCTACTGCTTTTTGAGATTCGCTCTCCTCACCGAAACTTTTCCATCATACAAGTCACAACGCCAACTATGGCGTCGCTTTCCAGCCGGCCATTGTGGCCCAAGCACACGCCGATCTGCATGCTATTTTTGCAGAGATCGTAGAACACCGCAAGGAGAGCGAGGCGTTCGGCAACCCGGCTGCATGGACTTTTGGCGATCAGGTTGGTCCGACCGTGCTCGACAGTCACCTCCTTCCCTTTGTATTGCGTTGCATGGAGGCTGGTTACGAGAGCCTCATTCCAGAGGAACTCCGGCATTGGGCTGTACACAAGTCGCAAAGTCCTACATGGTTCAAAGTCATGCGCGGCAGGCCAACACAGTGGCATCCCTCGATGGGACCTGTGGAGGATATGCAGGACATGATGGTTTTGTAAATACTCATGATTGACTGACACATACATTTATCGCTGCTAATCACACCTGGGCCCTTGTGAATTTGTGATTGAGGGGCGGAATCAGGGTCTCTTAGTCGATTTTATCAATCTACGAAATAGAAGTGCTGAACAGCTGTATGACACACCTGACCATGTGATAGTCTCAATATATCTGTACAAGATTTCACTCTTCATCCTAGATTCAGACGCTATTAATAGAATGTTATGTCGCCGCCATAAGAAACAAACATCAGGTAGAAATATTCAGCTCCATGACACCCACACCCCTGAGAATCACAATGAATTGGAGCGTACTGCTTATGACGCTTGTATATTTTATCACAATCTGCAGGGTCAGATAACTACGGCTGGAGGATCGCATCCTACAGGAAGGACTATTGACTACGATGAAGTGGCATGGTACAGGATTCTTGACAGGATATGAGCCTCAGCGGCACAATATAGGCAGATGCCAAGCATAAATACTTGGCAAATCCCACCTATATCGCAGCCTCCGCATTGTAATCAATCCGGGCCATCAAGAAATGCATGTATCTGACATCTGCGCCAATTCGCCCTCGCGAACTCCATACAAGGCAGTAAAACGGTCCCCTTGGGCTAGGGAGCTTCAGCACATTGGAATGAAGGCTGTGGTGGCGAAAGTCACAGGGACACTTGGTGGTGAAAGACCAGTCCACGATTAAAAAACGCCCCAAGTGTCTCGGACATTCATGGCTCCGGATACGATCTGATTATCTATTCAACTTGGCTTGGTGTTTCTAAGAATAAAGCCTAGGCTACGGTCGAGATTAGATTCTAGATCATTTGTATCAATATTATGCTTCCATCGTCATCGTCATCAGTAAGGCCATTATCGTCGACACGAGGCAGCGGATCTTTCTCTGATGGTAAGTCGACGTCCAAGCTGAAATGCTTGATACCCAAAGTCACAAGCAAGGCCGCCCCGCACAGGGCCGACATATAGATCCAAAGCTTGCCAACTGCGGAGGACACGGCAGCGATGATGGCACTTTTGGTGGATGAGTCGTTCATGTTGCGGAGTTGTGCGACCAGAACCAAGCTGAAAGATGGCTGGAAAAACTTATCTGTCGCGTTGCTGGGAAGTTGAATCAGTAACTCGGTCTTGAGTTCGTTCGTAAAAATAACACCCCCAATGGGCACTCCCAAAGCCGTCCCCAAAGAGCGAAAGAAGATGGTGAGAGTGACGGCGATCGCAAGCAAGTCATGTGAAACCGCTGCTTGAACGGCGAAACCCATGGCTCCAAAGATCATGCCCAGCCCAAAGCCGACCAAGAGATTCTGAGGAACCCACTGTCCAGCGGGGGAGTTCACGCCGAGGAAATACAGCGTGCCAACCGAAACTGTGGTTGCAACCCAAGCACTCCAGATAGCCCAGCGGTACCTCCCAGTGTGGCTGATTGAAACGCCGGACACAATAGATCCCAAAGAAATGGTCATCGTTTCCGGTAGCACAGCCACGCCCGTCTGTATGGACGAATAGCCCTTCACCCCCTCATAGTAGATTGGTAAGTAGTAGAGCAGACACCAGAGGACAAGGCCGTGTACCAAGCAGGCTATGAAAGTTGCAACACACGACAGGTTCCGGAACAGCTCGGGGGGAATCATGGGGTTCGCAGGCACAAACATTTCGTAAAGGATAAATGCAACGAGCGATACTGAACCGAAACAAAGCGGAATGATAGTCCTTCTATCTGTCCATGAATAAAGGGAACCTCCCTAAGCACGCATTTGGGTTAATGAGATTCCGGTATTCCCAATTTCTTATTTTAGCAAATGGAGGGCTTGTGCGGACTGACCTGTGTGAGAGGAACGAGTATCAGGAGAATAGCTGTGCAAAATATGCATAGACCAGCCCAGTCTGAATCTCGAAGATTTTTGAGGATGTCTCCTTGACGCGGCTTTGGATTGATTGCAGTATATGTCAGGAGTAGCGACAAAATAGTCATACCAGCATTGAGCACAAATATCATCCTCTTCATATTTGAAATTAGCCCGACGGATTCAAAGATTCCCGACTGATAGGTATTTTTTGACTTACCCAAGACCAATCATTGACCTGTGAGAGGAGTCCGCCCAGCAATGGTCCTGACACCGTCCCAATAGCGGAGGCAACGCAGATCCAGGCCAGCCACTTGCCCCGCAACCTCAGGGGCACCATCTCGGTGACCATGATCTCAATGATTCCAACGGAACCCCCCTCCCCAATGCCTTGTAAACTGCGCGCGACAAACAGCAGTGGAGCATCACTGGCCACAGCGCCGAGTATAGACCCAACGAGGAGAAAGGCCAGTCCTCCGGCCAACGATTCTCGTCGACCAAACGCGTTAGCCCATGATGCGCAACTAGGCTGAATGACGGTTGCCGTGATAGATGTTAGGCTTCCCACGAGGAAAGCATCAGAGTCAGTCAGCTTCAAGTGTTTTGCAAGGTCCTGCCGGCATCAAAATCAGCATCCTAAAAGAGCATGTCAACATGAGTACAGATTGAACAAGACTGACCGTTAAAGCGACACTCATTGACGTTGCACTGATTGTAGCCGCTAGGACCACGAAGAACAAAGATGCAAACGACAAGTAGAAGCTATTCGTAGGTCTCCATTGTTTGATCTGATTATGCTCTTCGACCAAGGAGGTGCTGGAGCTGGAGCCTTTGGCCATGTCTGAAGGTATTTCAAGCAGAAATGTGATTATGAATTTTCAAAAACTTGTAGGTTTTAGAACTAGATCGCCTACCTCTTTGGAAATGTAGCCAGTCATCTTTCGTTATATTGATACGAGAGATTTTTCATATCATGCCACTGCCCATACGTAGCGCATCACGTTGCTGACAAAAATTGAAGACTTCAGAAACGGACTCGGGCGTGGCGTCAAGTGGGGCGCGTAATACTTGCCAAGGACAAACTGTGTCAGGGTTCAGGATTACTTAAAGTAAAGACCAGATCCTTCCTAGGCGTTAGTAGCATATAACTCCACACTTTTTTTTCTTAAGACATATTGTAAATGATAAGGCAGGAGCAGATCAGGGGCCGAGTCAAAGGATCGAGAAGGGTCTCGCTACCCTCGTCGAATGCTTACTTCCTTGTAGTTATTAAATTAGAATAGTCATTCCCTGAGGTTCGTTTCATATCCACTAATTCATTGTCCTCTAGAGGTATCTCCAGTATAGTAATGTGTAAAGTGAATGGCTCGTATCCCGTGATGGTATCCACCTCATCATGACCGACTCTATCACAATGCTGTCCAGTTTATAGTCAATATCTATATTTGTAACCAAACAGCGAATCCCAATTTCTTGGACACCTAGGGACTCATTCCGTGCCCAAGTCCGTAGTTCGCGCCTCATTCCAGTGTGATCGATTCCCACTTCGCACCTGAATTCACGGCCTCGCCAAGCATGATGCCATGGACATAAGCCTCTCCAATGACTTGGAATCTCCCACCGGACCCTTGCCGTAAGACAACGGGAACGTGGGATCCGCCAAGTGTCTTTTCGAATTCCTCTTTTGCCGACTCTATAACGTTACATGAGAGTGACAGAAATGCCGCTTTGCCCAAAAGGTTGGGCGGCAGTATCAGCCTTCTCGTCGTCTCAATTCGAAGGAATCCATACATGGCCTCGAGAGTGGGCTCGTTAGGTTTCCCGGCATCATCAAATATCCCTCTGTCAGCTTGCCTGTAGTATTCGATGATGGTACTTATCCTAGCTGATAATTCGAAAGCCACGCCGACGTCGGAGTTATTGGAGTTGAGTACACCTGGGTTAGGATTTATTGAGTTGGAGGGGCAAGTGGCATCAGAACATATCGCGACATGCCACTTCGCCGCCATATCGCAAAATATGGAGATTTACGCGAAGGTGGATCTTGAATCACTTCAAGCTGGTCTGCATGAAGGAAGACGTCAATTCAAGAGTGTTACTGAAGACTGCGGCGGGGTAATTTTCAAAGAAGTGGACTACCTCTTTCGTTAAAGATATCGGGAACCTCGCTTGCAATGAAGTGGTACAAAGAAATTGAAGAAATGGGGTAAGACACCTCCCACATCTTGATTGTTTGTATGCAAGCAATGTACCTGGTACAAGGATTACTCGGCTACGGGTATAAGTAACCCTTATGCCCAGTATAGTACGTAAGGTAGCCTTAATACCTAAGCCACTGTACACACACACTCAACACCACAAAGGAGGGGTATCGTCTGAAGCAATGTGAAACTTGATCTGGGTTACGATTCTACCATTGCGGAATCTATCGTGAATAGAGGCTCCAAGCTCTTGATCACTTCTTCTTCTGCATACTAGCCATTCTTTTCTTAAGGGGATAACTGTCAGATACCGATGTTCGATCAAATACAAAATAAATAAATGAATCCCCCCGTCTGCGACTCACAAACGCATCGTATGTCGTCATTTTGTTAACCATTTACACAACCGAAACCTTGACTTTTAATCCTTGCGCCTTGAGAGTGGTGTCCTTTTGGAATGGAGGATGAAATCCGGGCACAACTTCCTCGAAGCAAAATCGCTCTACTAAGACCACAAGTAGCACCTTGATGGAAATCAAAGCAAGATCCTTCCCAACACAAATTCTAGGACCCCCAGAGAAGGTGTAGAGAGCTTGCGCTGACTTTGCGCCTCCAGTGGGAGATGCCTCCCACCGTCCAACATCGAATTCATGAGCATCCTCGCCCCAGAGGTCTTTCTGGCGGTTGATTGCATAAGGACTTACCAGGACCCCTTGGCCTTTAGCAATGACCACGCCACCAACCGTCGTGGAACTGGCCGCCACGCGTCCTATCAGCGGGACAGCGGGGTAGAAGCGGAGGACTTCCATGACGAACGCGCGGAGATATGGCATCGAGTTGATGGCATCTAGGCTGGGAATCGTGTCAAGGCTTTGATCGGCTCGCAAGATCTGGATCTCTGCTCGGAGACGATCTTGCACCTCGGGGTGTCTGGATAGTCTGTATATGGCCCAGTCTAGTGTCACAGCCGTAGTATCATGTCTAATGTCCAAAACTGATTAGGTACGGTCATGCCAAGCACGGCCTCTTCTTGCGTAGACTTACCCTGCTGCCATGGTTGTTAAGACGTGGCTGAGCAACTCTTTATCGTCTTTCAGGCCCGATGCAATCAGAGCAGAAAGAATGTCTCAAGAGGACAGTCAGCCCCTAATCCCTAACTATCCGAAGGAATGAGGAAAATTGGTACCTTTCTCTCTAGGTTCTGTATCATCGAAGCTAGTATTTTCAATCTCTTTTCTCTTCTGCCGAATTTGGGTTAGGTAAAAGCTTCGCAGCATCCTCATCCCTTTATGGTATTGTCGAATTGAACGTAGTGGCAATTTGAATAACAGTCTAGGTGGAACTAGGGTGGCGAAGATAATTCCAACAACTTGGTCGATTAGACTTGGATTGTCAGGAGATGGATAGACCATTTCATATGCCTGAAGAATCGAGTCGGATGGATTCCTGATTGAATCAAAGTTCACGCCAAGAGTCGTGATACCTACGATATCGAGTGTTGTAGCCATGGTCAGAGAATGAACGTCAAGCACTACTGAGCCTCTCGACTTCTTTACAAGGTCTTCTATCTTCTCGCGCAGGATCAATGCTATAGGCCAGACTTGTGGTACCAAGCGTCGATTGCGATTCAAGCCGAATATTGGGTTGAATATCCTCCTTTGAAACTGTAACAAACCATGAGAGATGTGATCTGTGTTGAATATGTATAGGGGGGAAAGGATGCACTTACGCGGTGGACATCACCTTCTGCCACAACAAGTCCAACTCCAAGACTTCTGACAAGACCTTCGCGATTGAGTGCAGGCTTTTCAAATGCGTACTGACTCATGATTTCAACGATTGCCTGTGGTGTCTTGGGAATGACACAGTCGAAAGGCCCCAGGAAAACGCGGTAGAGGCCAGAGGGTGTCGCACCAACCACGTGCTGCCATTTGGCCATGGGAATACCCCAAGGCTCGCGCAAAAAAGGTAGCAGATTACCAAGTACAAATGGCGTATTCTACATAAGGTTAATTGTCTGGCTGGCAATAGTTTCGTGCGGGAAGTGGATCACCTCGGGATGTGGTAGACCTCTGGTTGGGGCAACCAACCAGCGGTGAATCAGACAGTGGTAGGTAAGATATAGCATCATCTGGATTGAAAATGACATGAAAAACATTAATGTAACCAAAACATACGATGCACCTGAAAGTCTAGCTTGAATAGCGACGACGGCAGCAACGCAAGCCCAGGCTCGTGATTTGAAACCCATATTGAAAGGTAACTTCGCTATGTGCGATCAAGATGAAATGGTTTACACGCAAAATAGTTCGAACAGAGAGATAGGTTGAGTAATTATCGTGATGCATACGATTGAAGTTATCTGACTTCAAGTTCGAATATCGCCAAGCGTGCCAAGAATGGCGGCCTTCTCAGCTCTTGGCGTTTCCGACACGCATGGGATCATTATCTAAGGATCAATCCTACGAACTCACCCATGCAAGGAAGGATTGAATATTTTTTAGGCATCCTCACAGTCGCTTCTCTTGTAGTATTAATTGTATCGTACGATATAATTTCAATATAGCGACTTTGTCAGCCCTCCGCAGTTGATTAACACTGCTCGGACTGTGGTTGCCATACAGCTAAGTAATCATTCAGGATCAATCCTCCATGACTAGGCACCCATACCAAAAAGGATGAAGTATACATTTAGCATGGTTTCCCATCCTTTTTGTGGCTGTTCCATATGATACCTTAAATAATACCATTCTTTACTATCGAATGAATATTCATTTCATGTTATATCATCTCAACGGATACAACTATACCATGCTTTGATGCATATTCGTTTCTTCACTGCCTTGACCCTGAGTTGAGGTCTCATCTGTACTGACAGCCAGTGGGAGTGAGCCAAAATTGTGGTAAAAAGTTGTTCTATCAAGAAGTACGCCATACTGTGACCTCTCACGGGGCGTAGGTACGTGTTCCTATGGACAACCTCAGGTTCTTCCGTCAAGCTGGGGCCCACTCCGTTTGTATAAATCTTTCCACAGGTCCTGCTTTGACAACTGTTACACATACCTCGGACTCTTGCCATATACTTACATCCTCTTCTTTCCTGAAAGGAAAAAAAAAAAGTCACATTTCAAAGAGCATTTGAAAGAACTCAATCATCATGAATGTCACAAGCATTTTGCTCGAAAATGGCACATTGCCATTTTTGGACATGAATGATGGTTCATCCCCCATCATTACCATGGTTTCATCGTCCCCACCTCTCAGAATTGTCTCGCTGGTTGTCTTTAGCTTGGGATTTGTCCTCCTAAAGATTCTTTCGACGAGATCCAGCTTACTGGTTGAAGCAGACAAGCCTCAAAAGCTTCGTACTGCTGTGGCACCAAGAGCATACCCTCATTGGGAGCCCTTCATTGGAATTGATCTCATGGCAATATTTACCCGGGGCCTGCTGAGCAACAACTTCCTACCGATGGTACTTGACCTTGTTCAGAAATACGGAGGACCTTTCTACACTTTGGCATACCGATTTGTCGGGAAACCAGCTATCGTTACCTTTGAGCCGCTTAACATCAAGGAGCTCTTGTCGCCTAGCTTTCGAGACTATACGCATGGAGAAGACCGTCTTAATGTACTGAGACCATTGCTTGGAGATGGCGTTTTCAACAGTAATGGTCAGATATGGAGGGTAAGCTCACTTGACAACGGCGCCTTATCAGCGGAGCAAAACTGACAATACCTTAGGACTCCCGCATGTTCATTCGCCCTTTCCTCCACAAAATGGATGATAAGCAGCTCCAGATCTTTGAAGAGCATTTTCAAGACCTGCTAAATGCTCTTCCCAAGGATGCAGCCACAGTTGATATCCAGCCTGCAATGACGGATTTCGTCATGGACGTTGTCACGCACGCATTTGTTGGTCAATCTTCAGGTATTCTTTCCAAAGATGGGAAGTCTGAGAATCTGATGGAAGCAAAAACATTTGGCATCAGACATACACAGGCTACGGATGGTCTCGTGTTTGATGACTACAACATCTATGACCTCATCCCGAGGCTGTTCGGTAAATCCGAGCGTAACAACTACGCACGCGAGGTCAATGAGATCTTGGCCAAGATGATTAAACGTTGCACCACGAAATCGATGTCAAATGCAGCTACGCCATCGCCCATCCTGGAAGCAGCCACTCGTCTGGGCAAGGATACCAAGCATACCCATTGGGACCTGATGGGCTTGATAACTGCTGGAAAAGACAGTACGAGCTCTGCACTTGGTAGTGTGCTGTACTGTCTAGCTCGCAACCCCGAAGTGGTCGAGAAACTCCGGGCTGAGGTCGAGTTTCTCGATGGGAATCCGCCTAGTGTTGAGCAACTGGCTCAGTTCAAATACCTCCGAGACGTGATCAACGAGAGTGAGTGCTTTCATCTTCACCACCTCTTGACATGAACCAACTAACAACACAAAAAAAAAGCATTACGGCTGTTTGCACCCATTTCTGTCAACATGAAGACGGCTGTTCGCGATACCGTTCTCCCCGTTGGCGGCGGAAGCGATGGCAAGTCTCCTATTGTGGTCAAAGAAGGCGTCACGGTGGGCTACCTTGTGTACGGAGTTCACCGGCGCAAGGATCTCTGGGGAGCAGATGCAGCCGACTTCCGTCCCGAGAGATGGGAGGGTCTAAAACCTGGCTGGTCCTTCATTCCCTTTGGCGGTGGCCCTAGGATGTGTCTCGGATGTATGTTCATCTTCCAACTTAGCCCTGTGCTTCTCTTTGCTTGAATTACTGAAACCTGCTAATACGTCTACTATTACAGACAAGTTTGCGCTTACATTGATGAGCTATTTTATTGTGCGTTTCGTGCAGAGCATTTCAAAGATAGAGGCACGCGATCCACATCCATGGACAGAAAAGCTTGGCTTGACACTCTTCTCCAAGCACGGTGTCAAAGTGAGTCTGCAAAGGTCGGAGAAAGATCTCTAGCTGAATTGTTATGAAATTTCATGATTCGTTTCTTTCGTTTCCTCTTTTTTTTTCCCCCTCTCTGAGACAACCAAGATCACCTGCCACCAATCTCAGATATCTAGAATTTCATGTTGCAATTGATCATTCCCGACCATTTGCAATAGCAAGGTATGGCTATATAGGATGCGACGCAAATATATCTATTATCGATTAATGCGGAATTCCTGCCAACTTGAATATGTAGTTAAGCACTTGCTGCAACCCATGCTGTGCCCAATGGTGCCAAGATGCCACGCCGCAGCTGCACCTAGACCCTGCGCCAAAGTGCTGTGCCTCTCGTCGCGCCAGCGTGGGGTCCCTGTTACTATCCCCATTGGACAGCTGACAATTAACATGGACACACACCATCAACGGACCGTTTAAATATCAAAGTATTTCGCTTTGAGACTTTTCAAGGTAGTCATTCATAAACATAGTTGACTCGTCAGATGATTGAATAATTGAATATCACCATGGAAAATTACATTGTGTTTGACTCCGGCATCACCACTTCAGACCGTATCGTTCTGGAAGATTTGGTATCCGATATCAAGCAATTCGGCCAATCACGAGCTCGGGGGAAAAACAAGCCTGATGGGGACGGTGGTCAGTATTTCAAGGTCTTATGCAAAAGCTGTATTCACTAATATCATTCAGCGGCGACCAAGTCGGCGCTGGCTACTCTTGATGAATTGAACAACCCCAAGAGTCCAGCATTTCAGCCGACAGTTTTCACGAGCAAAGATTATGACCAGCTGCACTCTGGTCGGCCTTTCAGGAATTGGCTCCTGCAAACTTATGTCGGGATGGCTCAGTCGATTGTGCGATTCGAGTCAGACGTCGTCATGCTGACCCATTTGCTCCTCTACTTCACGACCACGGTCCCCAGCGCATTGTATCTCTTCTTTTGGCATTTTACTTGGCTTCACGGCCTGGCGCATTTCATGATGCAGATTTCATACATGGGGACGTACACTCTGATGATGCACCAGCATATCCATATGCGAGGGATTCTCAAGAAACGCTTCGCCCTGTTCGACTACCTGTTTCCCTACATCACCGACCCACTGATGGGTCATACATGGAACTCATACTATCATCACCATGTTAAGCATCATCACGCGGAAGGCAATGGTCCTCAAGATCTCTCCTCGACTATATACTATCAGCGCGACAGCATTCGTCACTTCTTGCTTTATTCGACACGATTCGTTTTCTTCGTATGGCTTGATCTGCCGATCTACTTTTTGAGAAAGAACAAACGCATACTCGCAGCTAAAACAGCATTCTGGGAATTGTCAAGTTATACAGTATTATATGTCGCATACAGGCTGAATCCGAAGCCTACTCTTTGTGTCTTCATATTTCCTCTGGTACTGCTTCGCCTCGGTCTCATGTTTGGAAACTGGGGACAACACGCTTTCGTCGATGAGGAAGACCCTAGCTCAGATTATCGATCTAGCATCACTCTGATAGACACGGCAGTGAGTAGAAAAGCCCTTGAATTGCCTGCGATGCACCTTCTCTCTGCAACATCTGGCATTGATGTCAACTGAATCGGAACCACTTGCTAACGGAATTTCAGAGTAATCGACATTGTTTCAACGATGGGTACCATACTTCGCATCATCTCAATCCTCTGCGTCATTGGAGGGAACACCCAAACTCGTTCATCAAGAGCAAGGCGCTATACGCATCTCAGGATGCGCTTGTGTGTACCCTATGGGCCCATATTTTGTGTTTGATTTGATTCCTAATCATGTGGCAGGTGTTTCACAATATCGACTATCTCATGATTACTATTCGACTCTTGCAAAAGGATTACAAGTGTTTAGCGCGGTGTATGATCCCGATAGGTGAGAGGCAGCTCTCCATGAGCATGGATGAGCGCATAGCCTTGCTCAAAAGACACACACGAAAGTTTACCCGAGAAGAGATTGAAGTGAAGTTTCGGCGACAATCTCAACGGTAGTATGATGGATCAAGCGAAGAGTATGGTTTCTGGAGGGAATAATCCGTCGACTCATGGCAGTCCCCGCTATCGGTCAACCTTTCAAACAAGCGCCTGTTTCCTCAACGCCAATTAAAGACTGAGATGGCGGCATGATACCCTTGTGTTTCATCATGAGAGAGCTTTGGCAGATTCCATTGTTTATAACCTGCTTCTATAAACATACGTCATCTATGTTCTCCGAGACCATTTCTTGTGACACATTCAACATATCAGATATACAACCAGCAATTGATGTCAGAGCCGCGTCAAGTAATTCATTACGTTAGTATTCAAATAAACATATTATACAAATCGTACAACGCTCTGGATATCTTTCACAAACCACTCTATACGCGCGTTGGACTAATTAGCCGCTCCATTTCCTTATCGCATCGTCGCCGAGCTGACTCTGCCTGCAGGAAGTCGCCGCCCTCCCTGCACCAGTTCTCTAGAGTACGCAGGTCCCTAATCACGTGAGGCTGTGCGGGCGACTCGTTCAGCCACAACTTGATGGATCGTTCGAGGTAGTAGCAGGCGAGGTCGTGGCGCGGGTTCCCTACCAAGATCTGATCACGACACCGCCGCTTTTCCACCCTCGCTACCGCGGCATAGTACATCCATTCGCCAATACCGAGCATGGGCACCTCGCCCCCGTCGATATTGCGGTCTCGGTAGGGCGGTGGCTGCCATTGGTCGTATCGCTCCATGCCGAGCGCACTGGCGCATGCCTCAAACACCTGCCGCAAGATCGGCTCCTTGATGTAGAGAATGCTGCGGTCGATACATTGTTGGATGAGAAACCTCGTCTCGGGGGTCCTCTTGAGATCCATGTTCATCTTGGGTTTAATCAACCATTGCAGAAAGGCTGGGTCCATGGACATGGCGCCGTTGCCTGACTGCAGTTGCTGGTTAAAGTTGATGTCAAGGACCCTTTCCATCAAGTCTGGAATGAGCTTAAAGTACACTTCAGGTGCCGAATTGTTGGCGCTCAGCAGCTTATAGACCGAGGTAGCAAGCCGGGTACCAGCGGTACTCTTTTCTACGAATGAGCACCGTGCCGCGAGGTATTTCCATAGCCGTAGGAGAATGTCGATCTTCACCGGGTATATGATGGATCCGTACATAGTGAATAGGAGAAACTGTGGAAACGATGCGCGATGCAACATCTCTATTCGCAGAAACGCATCGCGAGTCAGTCTTCCTGCTGCCTCGTAGTGTTTCTCGTCAAATAACCAACTAGCTTTGAACAGTTGTTCAAATACTTGTACCGTCTCGCCAATCTGTGACACGTGAGGGTGGCCTGGTCGAGGGAGCAGCGACGATTGCGAAGAGGGCAGTGATGTGCAGTAGATATGGATGAGTTCTTGGACCCTAAGGATATCGCTGGCGCCTATCGCGATTCGGATGCTGAGATGTGGTGTTCTTGGCCGGATGTACTGGGGTATTTCCTTGACCTCTGAAGACTCAGGCTGTGTGGCCACCTGTACGGAAGCCCGTGTGCGCCTGAGATACTTGTCTAGGTCCACGGTTCGACCACTAATCTCGAATTCAGTGGTCTTACCTTCGTGTGCACGCTGCTGTCGCAGACTGAGCATTTGGACAGCGTCTTGACGGCGAACGTTTTTGCTAAAGCCCCAGATCTGGAGTTGCCGCTTATATTGTCTCTTCCTTGTAATCTTATTAGTAATAATCAATCAATCGGGGACGGCGGAGTATCATACGTTGCCATAAACCCCGTTGACGACATGGCTCGCATCACTGTAGCCAAAGTCTGCCGGTTCTCAATATAGAGCTGGCGTATCTCGTCTCGGCGTAGATCCCAAGACTCTCGCCGGTGACGATACCGAGACACCTCCCGGTGTACTGTGCGTCATGAGCGTTTTTCGCTGTATACTCAGCTTGCATCCTCACCTGCATCGTCTTCGCGTTCAACGGAACTGCAGAGTTGGGCTGGTGCTGCAGAGGCTTCGCCCCCATCAAAGAGTGGTTCAAAATCGTATAAAAGGTTGTCATCTTGAAAAGCATTATAGTCCCGGTGAACAAGTGATTCCAAGGCGAGACTCTGTTTCTCTATGAATGAGTCGATGCGATATTCTGGGTCCACTGCAAGATGGTTGGCGCTGAATAATGCGTGCATTGTGAGATCATTGGTTGATGGAATAGAAATGGTAGAATGCAAGGATTTTACATTCAAAAAGGTTTATTGCAGTATATTTGAAATTCATGACACGAGATCCGGAGCCTAGAAATATCGAAAGACCGTCCAAGTTTCGAGATATATTAATCAAACGTTATTAGTTCGTAGACATGGTACTAATCAGTGATGGGATGCTCGCGCCATCAGTGATCTATTTGCAGA